GTGTGGGGAACACTGCGGCCCGTGGGAGGGACTCACGTCAGAGAAAGTTTGTGGAGGACTGTCTGCTGTGAGAGGGGGACCACGATGGAGCAGTGGGAACAAGTTCCAGAAGCTTCCCCCACCGCAGATGGCAGAAGCAGCAGCACTGCCTGCACCCCCCATTCCCTGTCCCTGCGCTGCTGGGGGAGGTGGTAGAGATATCGGGAGCAGAGCTGAGCCCGGGAAGAAGGGAGGGGTGGGGGGAAGGTGTTCTCAAGATGTGGCAATGCTTCTCACTGTCCTACTCTGTTATGTGTTGTTAGTGTCTGTAATAAATGTATGTTCTTTTTTCTTCCCTTAATGAGTCTGCCTTTTGCTCATGACCATAAAGGGTGATTTTCCCCTCCCGGTCCTATCTCTAACCCCAATCCTGGCTCATCTGTCCCTTCTTACTGCTGGAAGAGAAGGGAGAGAGAGTGGCTGCGTGGTGGTTGGCTGCCGACCGGGCTCAAACCACGACAGTAGGTTTGCCCTTTAGTCCCCTAAAAAAATGCTTTAGGATTTATACCTACAAACTTTTGAAAGTGTCTCAAGGTCAAAAAATTGTCACACCTTTTTTTTGGACAGGTTTTAGAGGGTTAGCAGGAAACACATATTCTTTCTGGGCGATCGAAGAGTCATCTATGACCAATAGATTTAGACTTTTACGAAGAGTATCCACAGGGGTTACACTTGGACAGTGCAAACGCTACTCTCCTCAGGTTTACAATTTTTTTCAAACTACGTACAAGATAAGTTTCAAAAGCTACCTCCATGTTTTTTCCCACTGTTAATATTTGGATGTGAAAAGTTTGTTGCTTTATACACCATATTCTCGCTGTACATTCACATCTCTATGTTCAACAGCAAGATTAGAGGGTTCACTGTTCAGTCCCAATATTTCTTCAGCAGTGATTTGGTCTACACTGTGTCAAATCCTACTGTGCTGTTGCCAAGTAAAGCATTAGGTGTTACAGCTTGGCCTAAGGATGCCCGTTGGGCCACGTAGGTTCTAGGGCTTCAGCACTCAAATTAACCTTCCAGTCTGCTGAAAAATTACCTATGTACTTTTCTAAAAAAACTTATGTAAGCACCTGTGTGTGTTAGGTGTCCAAAACCTATGCCCTTGTTTACCACTTCAGCCTCACATACAGCGTCTCTTCATGAGAAAAGGTTAAAACAGCCACCTGTTATATTACCCTTGGACAGTCTAAGGTCAAAGCCTTCGAAAGCCACAGGTTGGCAGTTTAACTTCTTTAAACACGGCACGGTGTGACAGTTCTGTTGATGGCCATTAACCCTTTCATATTTGTACATCGGATTCACATGCTACCCTGTATGGTTGGTTGGACTGCTCAAATATTTGCTCTGTTCAGCCTAACAGGGTAGCATTACCCTACCTTTTAAGAGATTTTTTTTTTTTTTTCCCCTTTAGGTGTCAAATTTGTGTTAACTGCCTCACTTAAAGTTGACAGGTGTAATTCAACCTTAAAAGCAACCTTATTCGTTATTTTTTTGTTGATTGATACCCTTATCTAGCAAATTTTTAAACTTGTTGTTTTTAACTGTGTAGGGAGCGGTTTCCAAACTTGCAGATGGCCACTTGGAAACTTTCAAGTGGCTGACGTTTGAAAGGTAAAGCTAAAGCTCTTTTGAAGGTTGGACCTGTAGCTTAAGTCACAACGTACTTGTCTTAGTCTAGGAGACCTACAGAGGGGAAAGCAAAACCTACCTTTGCAGTTTGTAAATGTTAAATAACTTCTGTACAGACTGATAGGTTTTGTAAATCTACCTTTCCAACTCTTTCAGAGATCAGTCTACCTGCATTCCTCTGGAGAGGCAGACATCTGTAAAGTTTTAAAGTTTACAGCTGCATTAAAAAAACAAACAAACAAGAAAAACACACCAAAAGACCCTCACTGACAGAAAGGCTTTGGCCCTTGCAAAACCCAGCACATTACAGGTTGTTGGATTTTTATGTTTCAACATTGAAATCTCCCTCTTTGAGGCATTACCTTTTGGTACTTCCATCTGCTTAGTCGGTGTCTAGAAAAAGTTTTGTTCACTATATAAGTCTACCTCTTTGTTCTGTCTGACTGGCATTAGTAAAATGACGACTTGACTGGCTTGTTCAGTCTAATGAGGGAAACAAGTCCCAGGTCCAAAAAAGGGACATGCTGCTTCGTCTTTCAGATCACAACAACCACCTTCGACTCTTTCACCTTAGAAAGACCAACTCCTTTCTTGTGTACACTTGTGGTTTGAGCCCAGAGGGCAACTGAGCACCACGCAGCCATTCACTGACCTCTTCCCTCCCAGCAGTGGGAAGGAGAAAATGAAGCAAAAGGCTCAGGAATTGAGATAAGGACAGTGAGGGGTGCTCACCCATTATGGTCATGGGCAAAAGACAGACTTGTTAGGGGAGGGAAAAAAGGAACAGCACTTTAATTAAAACACTAACAAAACCAAAAGTTAACAGACAAGGTGGTAGAATGAGAAGTGCCACCACATCCAAAAACACCCCTGCAGAGAGGACAAGAAAAGACACCAACACCGTGTTGCCGGCTGTGCCGGGCTGCTTTTTTTACCACCACTGCCCACCACTCAACAACTCCCACCCAGTGCCCCGCAGCAACCTCCAGCATCACCTGGAACCGGTACAGGCATCCCTGTGCTTTCTTCCTTTTCTGACGCGTTACAGGACAGTTACAGCAGCACGGCCACCGTGCTTGGTGCCCCCCCGGCACACGCCGCAGGGGAAGGGTGACCCCCCCACCTTGCCCAAGGTCACATACACCACCCTTATCTCCCCTCCCAGGCAGCACGGGCCCCACTGCACCGCTGCTGGCAGTCCCACGTGAATGCCCGGACCACCCAGCCCCGGTCCAGCTCGGCATGCAGGCACTGCATGTCCCCCAGACAGGCCTTTTGTACCCCACGGGGTGAGGGGTACAGTCCTTTTGCAGCACCTTTCCACATCCTTCAAAAAAATTTCCCCTCTTTGCCTGCAGCCCTCGTCCTCCTGATGGCCACCGCAGGGCTGGTGCAGGTGTCAGCGTTGGTCACCAGTTTGGTGACGGTGGCACTCACCGATCCGCTGGCAGCACGGCTCCTAAACTGGGCACCAGCCATCACGCCATGTCCTTCGCCGAGCTCGAGGAGCCGCCCTCCATCCCTGTTCCTCCTCCCGCTGTGTCATGGTTTGGGCCTGGTTGGCAGCCAACCACAATGCGGCAGCTCTCTCTCCCTTCCCCTCCGGCAATGAGAAGGGACAGAGAGCCAGGATTGGGGACCGAGATAGGACTGGGATGGGGAGAAAATTCCCCTTTATGGTCATGAGCAAAAGGCAGACTCGTTAGGGGAAGAAAAAACCCCATACATTTATTACAGACACTAACAGCACATAACAGAGTAGGACAGTGAGAAGCATTGCCACATCTTGAGAACACCTTCCCCCCACCCTTCCCTTCTTCCCGGGCTCAGCTCTGCTCCCGATATCTCTACCACCTCCCCCAGCACTGCCGGGGCAGGGAATGGGGGGTGCAGGCAGCGCTGCCACTTCCCTTATCTTTGGTGAGGGGAGTGTCCGGAACTTGTTCCCCCTGCTCCATCGTGGTCCCCCTCTCACAGCAGACAGTCCTCCACAAACTCTCTCCGACATGAGTCCCTCCCACGGGCCGCAGCGTTCCCCACACTGCTCCGTCATGGGTCACTAACTTCCTCCGACTGGATTCCCTCCCACGGCTGCAGCCCTTCCCGAGCTGCTCCGGCGTGGGACTCCCCCTCATGCTGCAATCCTCCCAGCGCTGAACTACAGCAGCGGGGGATGCCTTTTCCCACGAGACCCCGGCCTTCTTCGGGTACAGCACCTCGATCAACAAAGCAGGAGCCACAGGCCATAAATCAATGTCTGCTCCACCGTAGATCTTCATGTGTGGCAGGGGGGGCCGCCCTGCCGTCTCCCCACAGGATACAGGGGGGTCTCTGCTCCAGCACACCTCCCCCCTCCTTTCTTCCTCCGTTCCTCCACTGACCTTGGTGTTCATGCAGCTGCAGCAACTCCCCCTCACAAGTCCCACTGCACATCACCACGTCCCTTCTTAAATACGTTATCGCAGAGGCGCAGCTGATTGGCTCAATTTCCCAAACAGAAATGGAGCTGGCTTGGAGCTGGGGGAGCTTTGAGAAGCTTCTCACAGGGGGCCGCTCCGATAGCCCCCTCCCCTGCCACCAAAAAAACTCCACCATTTACTCAACCCAGGACACACTGCCATGACGAGATGATGGCACGTCACCATCACCACCTCCCCGAGGCTCCAGCACGGTGGGCAGCTCTGCTCGGGGCGGGGGGGGTCACAGCGCGGCACCTCCCAGGCAGCATCTTCACACCCCCTCCCATCGACACGGCCACCTCGTGCCTCGGCGAACCCCACATCACCCCCATGGCAGCTCCGGCTCCTCTCAGGGACCCCACAGGCTCCAACCAAGCTCCCCCCAGACCAATCAGCCCCCCAGGACCAACCCAGTTCCCTCAAGACCCCCATTAAAAACCAGCTGTCCTCAAGTAGCCCAGCACCAGCAAGGTCCCCTGAGACATCCCAGGGCCAGCCAATTCCCCAAAAGCAACCTGGGACCTAACATCTGCCCTAGAGCCCCCCCAAGGGCCAACTGGGTTCCTCAGAGCCCTCCAGGACCACCCAGCCAGACCCCAGCGCCTCTCCCCCCATACCACCAGCCCCTTAGTGCCACGGGCATTGCTCCCACCCCCCCAATCGAGGGCAGCTTGTGGGATGGCTGCCCACCTCAGCCTCCCCGGGACCCCAACCAGCCCCGCTGCAGGACAGGGGGACCCTCCCGAGGACACGGGCTGAACGCCGGCATCCCCAGACACAGCCCCAGGTGTCCAACCCTGGCTTCACCGCATGTTCCCCCCCCGCCCCCTCCCCCGAATAACCAGAAGGACACACAAGGCCAGGTCAGCTCTTTTGCCTTTATCACACTCAAGACCTGTTGCGCCACACGCCGCGTCCTCAGTTTGCGTTCATGTTCTGCCAACGAGAAGACATGGGAGGGGGGGGGGGTGGGTGCTCACGGTGAGACCCTCGGCTGGGTAGGGACAGGGACAGCCCCTCCCTGGGGGCAGAGGAAGGGGCCCCCCACCTTGTTGATCCAGTCGATGTAGGCGGACACCCGCGTGAAGACCGTCGGCTTCTTGGCCGTGTTGCAGCCCAGCGCGGAGCCGAAGCTGACGATGCCGTGCACCTCCCAGAGCCCCTCGCGCTGGCAGTTCAGGGGGCCGCCCGAATCCCCCTGCCCGCACAGACAGACTCGCCGTGCCCGCGCTCCCGGGCCCCCCGCCGACGCACCCCCACCTCCCTTCCTGGCTGCCCACCACCACCATTCCACCCATGCCCTCTCCCCCAGGGTCCACAGCCCCGCACCGCTCGGGTCCCCCTCACCAACCCACCCCCCTCCCTGCACCCGGAGAGCACCCACGGCCCCCGGGTGCCGGCACTCACGTTGCAGCCGGAGACGACGCCGTCGCCGCCGGCGCACACCATGGTGGTGCGGACGTTGTTGCCCCACCAGTCCCTCTGCGAGCAGATCTCGTAGGACACCACGGGCAGCAGCGCCTGCTGCAGGACATCGGCCAGGGGCCCGTTCGCTGCAATGACAGCTGCACCTCGCACCCAACCCTGGATTCCTCCCCGGGGAACCCCCCCCACACACACGCACTCCACGCCGCTTACTCCAGAGGCGGCCCCAGCCGGTGATGTAGCAGGGGTAGTTGTTCTCCAGGATGAGCCCGTCGGGCGGCAGGCAGGCAGCCTGGATGGTCTCGGTCTCCTCCACCTCCTGCTCCAGCTTGATGAGGGCGATGTCGTTGCTGCGGGGAGAGCCGAGCTGCGGGGATGCTGGGGGTGGGTGGGAGGGGGTACCCTCAACCCGTGACACCCCCCCGCCCCATCGCATCCCAATCCCCTACACGATGAGGAAGGAGTTCCACTTCTCGTGCACGATGATCTTCTCCACGCCCACGGCCAGCGAGCCCGGCTCATCCTCCTCCGACAGGACTTGCTTGCCCAGCACCACGCGGTACGTCAGGCTAGAGCTGCCGGCCCGAAGAGAGAGAGGATGTCAGTCTCCACAAACATCTCGCCCCTCCCCAAACTGGTGCAGACCCCCTCCCAGCACCCCAGCACCCACCTGATGCAGTGGGCAGCCGTCAGCACCCAGCTGGAGCCGATGAAGGTCCCGCCGCACGTGTGGTACCAAGTCCCAGAGAAGTTGTACTGCAGCGAGATCTGCGACGGCAGGGCCACGGTGTCAAAGTGGGGATGTCCCCCCTCCCCATCCCCGTCCCCGTGAGCCCACCCCCCTCTTACCTGCCACGGCCAGCTGTGGGGCCGGGCGTCCTCGCCGCCCACCACCCGGGTGCCCAGCAGCGGTGGCACGGCCGGCTGACCGCACCCGTAGGCTGCGTGACACCCGGCAAAGGGACCTCAGCAACCGCCCGTGTCCCTGTGCCCGGGGGCCACGGTGGGTTCTGGGGTCCCGTCCCCCCTGCCCTGTCCCCTCCCTACCCACCCGCACCCACCGTAGCCCAGCAGCACGGCGAGACACACAGCCCCCAGCATGGTCGTGCAGTCCCGAGGTGCCGTGGCGGGGCCGCCCGCCCCCTCTTATAGCGCCCGTGGCCGCCGGGGACCTTGGCGTCACCCCTCCTGCCACCAACACGTGCTGCCTGTCCCATGCTGGGGGGCGGGGGGGGGGCTCCAGCCCCATCTTATCATCCCTGCCTGGGAATGGCCACATCTGCCCACCGCTGCGCTGTGGCACGGTCCCAACCTGGGGACAGGCAAGGGTCCCTTTTGGGGGATGCTGCCAGGCAGCCCCCTCCCCCCCGCCCCGCCGTGCCGCTTTCCATGGGGTGCCAGGCACCCCAACCTTGAGCACCAGCTGCCCCAAGACATGGCCCCCCAGCCCATCACCCCCAAACCATCGCAGGACTAAGGTCCCCTTATCTCCCCAAGGCCCCATGGGTGCCCCCAGTGCCGCCGAGTGGGGGGTGGGGGGCAGCCACTAGGCACGGGGGCAGATGCTGGCAGAGCTGCCAAAAACCTTCAATAATGCCACATCCACACACCTGGATCAGGCCCCCGCCGCTTCCCACGCTGATGTCCCCGCGCTGCCACAGCTCACCCGGGGTGGGGGCAGCTCCAGCAGCAGTGACCGGGTGCCCACGGCTGGACCCCACTCCCCATCAGGCTCCTTCCCCCCACCTGAGCCCCCACCGCAGACACAATCACCCCACGGCTGCACCTCGGCCCCCTCCACAGGCACCCAGCACGCTTACGAAATATAATATTTATTTGGGATTAAAATAAAAAACCAAACCAGACCCCGCCGGCACCGCTGCGCGGGGGACACCGCGGGACGGATGTGCCTCTTCACAGCACCCACAAACACGGGAGCCTCAATCAACTGACAGGAACTGCTCGTGGCTACAACACTCGCCCTCCTGGGCTGAACACAACACGAAAAAACGTAACACAGCTTTGCGAGCCAGCAGCTGCCTTTCCGTACGTTTTTTTTTTTTTTTTTTTTTTTAACCAAAATAGAGATACAGGCAAGCGGGGGCAGCGCTGCTCGGCCCCTCGGGGGCTGCACACCAGTGGGGTGGGCTCCCACCCCCGAGCGCCGCACACATACTCACACTCACACACGCTCACACACACTCACACACAGCCCCGCCACGCTCCCGGCCCCCCGCAGCACACCCGGCGTGCAGCCACCCACCCCAATGCCCTAAGGGCACCCGGCCACCGCGACACCCAGCCGGGCAAGACAGGCGCTCGTCGGGGGCCAGGAGTCCCGGGCACGGCTCCCCCGGGACCCGGCAGCAACAACCGCGGCCACGGGGAGGGGACAGGGTGCCCGTGGCGCTGCCCTGGGGGCAGCAATGGCTTGGCAGGGGGGGGCACGAACAACACCTAGAGACACCACAGTAAAAGGAGGGGGTTTGGAGCCACCCGGGCTGAGCCCAGAACAGGAGCCCGCTGGTGGCCCAGCCTTTGGGGGGGGGGGGGGGGGTCACAGGCAACGTGCAGCTCGGGCATCGTTCCCGGCACGGTCGGCACATGGCACACGCAGAATTCCCAGTCCGGGCACCACAGACCAGTCCTGCCCAGCCCGGGCAGAGCAGACCAGTCCTGCCCGGCCCCGCGCCGGGGCCCCGTCACTGCTTGAAGGTGGACTGCAGCTCCTTGAACGCTGCCTTCCTCTGCTTCAGCTCCTCCGCCTGCTTCTTCTTCTCCTCCTGCTCCGCCTTGATCTCCTCCTCAAAGCGGCTGGAGTCATGGATGGCTTGCACCTGCGGGCGGTAGCACAGCTGGCTGGGTCCCCCGAGACCCCCACCAAGCCCTGCTGGCCCACCCCAACCCGCCCGCCCATCGCTGAGCCGACCCCGAACCGTCCTCGTGCATCGGGACCTCTCGTGCCACATCACTTGCCTCACCTTGGCCTCGAAGAAGCTCTTGGCACCTTTCACCCCTTCCGTGGAGACGTCGATCTCGGAGAGCCGGGCCAGGGCGTGCAGCCCGCTGTCCTCCTGCAGCTCGCCTGCTGCTGCCTTGCGGAAAATCAACAGGAACTGCGAGGGGAGACATTGGTGTCAGCTCCCCCCCCACCACAACTCCCTCCCCACGTTCTCACCACCGCCCCAGCCCAGCTCGGAGCCCTGGAGGCCCCCCAGCCCCCCCTCACCTCCCGAAAGCTGAGCTTGCTGTCCAGGTCTTCGTCCACTTCCTTGATCATGTTCTTCAGGCCCAGGTGTGTCTGAGGTGCCCCCAGCTTCTCCATCATCAGCTTCAGCTCCATCAGGTCAATGAAGCCGTCCCTTCCTGCGTCGTACCTGCGGGACGGAGGGATGGTCCTGTCAAATGGGGCACACGGAGGGCACACAGCCCCCCCCGCACCGCCCCCCTCTGCGTGCACCCAGCACCCACGCGGGCCGGGCAGCGAGGCGGCAGGAACAGCGAGGACCTGGGCACCGGGAATCTCGGGCGACTTGCCAGACCACGGGAAGCCGCCAGCGAACCGCTAACAGCCCCCCAGAGCATCACCTGGGAGCGTTCCTGCTTCCGTGCGGCACTTGGCAGGGGAACCCCCTGGGATGCTGCCAGACCTGCTGCTGGCTCCCTGCGCCGGGAGCCTGAGCGCACGCTCCCCTCGGCTCCTACAAGGGACAGCTGGCCACGGCACGAAGCCCACCGGGCTTCACCCCCGTCACCCCTCGGTCAGCACCCACCTTCCTGTTGGCAGAGCCAGCAGCTTGCCCAGCTCCCAGGGGCTCGGCTCGGCACCGCGCCGGTGCTCCCGGCAGCCCCTGTGCCTTTTGGGACCACAAGCCCACCCGGAGCAGCCACCACCCCCCCATGACACCTCCAGGTCACCACCCCTGCCCACCCAAAGCCCCTCGGTGCCTGTGCTCGGCCGAGAGATCCGGGTGCAGCTCTGCGTACGGACCCCAGCAGGGACCCCCCGTCCGATCCCCCCACCAGCTGCCCTGCCCGCTGTGCCCCTGGCACTCTGCCCCCCCAGAGCCTTTCGGGGGGCTCTCACCGGGGAGCCAGCACAGCTCTGCATGGCTCACGGGGTCCCCTCGCCCCACTGCCCTTCCTGGGCACAACTGCGGGTGCAAGACCTGTGGCACGTCCCAGCAGAATGCAGAAGTAGCTGAGCAGCTGTAACATTCTGGACTGGTTGTTTGGTTTTTTTTTTTTTTTTTTGGTGGCCTGTCTTTTTCTGTGCCTGCAGGCTCTGCAGCAGCCACGCAGAGCACCAGGCTCACCACGCTCGCTGTGCTGCAGGTCCATGACTCATTTCTACCTTCCCTGCTGTGGTCTGCTCTGTCCGTGTCACAAGCGGTGCCTTCCTGCTCTCCCACGCTGCCGGGGGGCCCCAAAACAGGGCCGGCCCTGCTCACCGCTGCCCGCTGCTTCCACTGTCACCCCAAAAGCTGGGCTGGGGTCTCAGAGCATCGCACAGTTTCTCTGTGAGGGGCATGTTTGCTAGCATGGCCCTGCCGCTTCATCGCGTGCAAGCCGCCCCCCCAACTGCAGGGCGCTTCCTCGCTCTCACTCCCCTCTTCCCGGGTTTTCAGGGATGCAGGAATCCCTCTGCTTCTCCTGGAGAAGCTCCCGAAGGGCAGCATCCCCCTTGGAGAGAGAAAACCCCCTTCCAAGCGTTGTTTTACCCTGTATGGCCAGACTGTCCCATCGTGAGGACAGCAGAGGTGACATTGGCAGCACGGCAGGGCTTGGCTTCGCAGCATCTTTTTTCCTTGGGGAGACACCGGGCTCCCAAACCCCCCGGGGGCTGCCTCCCGGGTGGGCGCGCAGCCCCGGCGCTGCTCCTTTCGCTGCGGCGAGGCGCTGCAGGTGTCAGAGCAAACACGTCTGCTTTGCACACCCGGCTCCCTCGTCTGCAGCGCCGGGCTGACTCCCACCGCCCGCCGCTTCCCCCCGGCACCCGCACCCACGGCCACCCACTGGCGCCAGGAGCAGCCCCAAGCATGGTTAACGTCTCCCACACACACCCCACGGGCTCCCTTCTGCTGCAGCCCCACAGATTTCTAGCAGGGACACACACGTCTTGCTCGCAGCCACGTCCGGGTGATGGGGTGACGGCCCTTCGGGAAGAAGCGGGGAGCAGGGGGGGCTCCCCACCCTGTCAGGGATGCTGAGAGGGCACGCCTGCACCCTAAACAGCCCCCCCCCCCCCCGCCTTCTGCTTCGGGGCTCGCTGCCTCCAACCCCACCGCTTTCTCCAGCATTTATCTATGCCCGAGACAGACCACACAATACATTTACACAGATTTTCCCCCAAATTCTGGCCAGGGTGAAGGCAGCAGCACACCACAGCCATGCCTTTGCTTGCACCCCCTCCACCAAACGGGCTCCGTGGGGATGCTCCGGGCCGTCCCGCTCGTCCCCGGCTACTCACGTGCATCCTGGCGTGACCGCCGTCGGAGCCACCCCGACTCCTGCCTCCCCCTGGAAATTTCCAGGGCTCGATGCTTGCTGCCAGCTCCCCCCCCCCCCCCATCCCCGGGGCTGGGGGCTGAGCTCGCAGAGTCACGCTCCGGCGTGCGCGCTGGCACGCAGCGTGGCCGGGGGTGCCGAGGACACGCCGCCTGCCCACGCCGGCCTCGCCGCTGCGGCCCCGGGGGCTGCGTCGCTGGCAGAAAAGCGGGGGCCCCTCAGTGCTGCGGCAGAGACAACCCGGGGCGGGGGTGGGGGGGGTCCCTCGTAGTTTTTTCCAGCCCCGCTTCCCCAGCCTCGGCGCAAAGTGCCAGGGTCCCTCCTCCTTGAAGACTGGGGACCATGGGGTCCCTTCTACAACAATTTGGGGTGCGCAGGAGTCTCTCCTGCAAGGAGCCGGGGGGCAGGTGGCCCTGTCACCCATCCTGCAAAGTGCTGGGGGGGTGGGACGCCCCTGGGATCCCTCCAGCAAGGTGCTGCGTGCAGGGTGGGTGGGGGAAATCCCTGGGATCCCTCCTGCAAGGAGTTGGGGGTGTCCCAGGGATTCCTCCTGCAAAGAGCTGGGGGGGTTGAAGCCTCCTGCAAAGGAAGGA